GATTGAAAGCCTCAGTGAGGTGTCAGTGCGGACACAGTCTGATCTGTCACTCGAGCACTGGGGGCAGCCAGACGCCGCTCTTGTCAGCGGTATCACTGATGGTTATGGTTTTGATGCGTGTGACTCCTGCCACTAAGGAGAGATCTGTAAAACCTGGGCAGTAGTGCTGCTTCTGGCTGTTCGTTTCTATGTTTTCTTCATCAGCATGGTGATCTTTGTCAATTTCGTAGTACTGTATTCTGTAGTGCTTTCTCCCCTTCCATTTCCCTTCTTTAGATGCACCTAGTATTTTTGGTTGAGCTCTTACATTCTAACACAATTGATTGCGTTTTCCTTATGTATTGTGATTTTTTCCGTTTGTCAGTAATTTTATCTTATTGGATTAGTGCCTGCAGTAATGGGATACTGTACTGTATGTATTAATACTTATTATTAATATTTATAATACATAATATTGTATATTGATAAATCAGAGAAATGTTGTCGTCCAGATCATCGCCGACTTGAGTCTCTAAACTGAGCAGGAGAGATTTGACCGACAAATCACTCCGCCGTCGGTCAAATCAAGGCACCAGTCAGCGGGGCTACGTCTTCTACTGGGTTACGGTACCTGTACACCAGTCACCCATCAATGAGCATCGTTCGGATTTCCTTGACAGTCGGAACTAGGCTTCACTTGTTGTACCACCTCCGAGGTTTTCACCAGCTGCTCGTTAGCGGACACAGATGCCGCAGATGATCGTCGAACCCCTGCATTCCCAGTGGCATCTGATGCATTTGAAACCTTATCATCCGAGTGTAAAGCTTTCCGCACCATGTGCTCCAAAGCAAGCCCGGTCTGTTGCCCGCCTGCAGCACTACTCTCTTCAGTTTCGTCGCAGCCATCACGCCTTGCTCTCTCCGGCGGCGGCGACGAGGGCTGAACTCCGCTGTCCACTGAAGCACACTCCTCGTCACCAGTGTCTTTCTCGCTCGCCGCCGTCTCATGAAGCCTAGCTTGGAGCTGTTGCAATATCGCCTCCAGCTGTTCAATTTTGCTTCGCAGTGCTGACTCTTGAGCAACGAGCCCCTCGACTGCAGATATATGCTGTGTTTCCACCGCTGCCATAGATGAAACCTGGCGCTGCCTGTCGTCATTGAGTCGGCCGACTTGCAATGTGAGGTCAGCCACCAGAGCTTGCAGTCTTGCCTCCTCTGCCACCAGCTGTTCCACCTGAGGTGCCTCCTCCTGGCGCAATGATGCATCGGGTTCAGGCATCCCCTTTCCTGGCTAGCGGTGCCCGCTTGTCCGTTCTCACTAGTAGCAAGCAGATCTAGTCGAATTTCCTCCCCAAGGTTTGCGCGCCTCTGCTCCAGCTCTGCGATTTCGCTTTGCTTATTTTGTTCGTCTGCCTGGAGAGTCTCTAGTCTCAGCACTTGTTCGACCACTTGTTCGACTTCTGCATGTTGCAGGCTACTGAGCCTCGCTAAAGTGTCACGCTCCTCGTCTCTCAGTGCCAGAATTCTCCTGTTCTGCGCAGTGAAATCATTTTGAAGCTGCTCAGCGTTTGCTGCGAATTGCTGCTCTTGCATGGCGAGCTGATGTAGTCTCGCTTCTCGCTCCTCGACTCTGCTTTGTAAGGCTTGTTCGCGCGCATCACCTCCTAATGTACGTGCCAATCTCTGACTTCGTAAAGACGCCACTGGTGAAATCTGCTCTGGCAGGACGATATAGTCAAAGGTGTGTACGCCCTCCGTCACATGGAGATCAACAACGGGAATGTCAATGTCCTGGCCGAAAAAAGTAAAGTAGATGGAGCGCTGAACAAAAAACGAGGTCAAATCCGAGCCGTGCCTATGCATTGCCGCGTGGAGTTTGTCCAGAAACATATCAGGTTTGTCTCGAACTGTGAACCTCCCTCCCTTACGTGCACCAGGATTCCTACGCCATGGAGCAAAGGCATGTACCAGTACGTCAAACAGCATCAAGCCTTGCAAATGGAGGAACGATTTGAACTCTCGTAAGCTAGCTATGGTACGTAGTTTGAATTCTTTCACTGTTGCGAGGGCGTGCTGTCATGGTATGCCACAACAATCTATGTATTATGATACCTAGGTAGTAGGCTCATTTAGTCACAGCAAACGCAATACGTGTCCGCATTCCTAATCACCGATATGCGGTATTATTAATATATTTTGCTAGATACGGCAACCAACCTTTTTCAATCGCCATCTTGTATCAGTACACTGCTGCGCCAGGCCCGGCCGTGGTACCATTGCAAAGGTGGAGAGACGGCGATTGTCCCGGCGTCATGTCTATGGCAGGTTCTTGGTAGGTCTGCACCAGCTTACCCTGCCTGAATGAGGTGACACGGTAACAATTGCGTAACTAGAAGGGCTGCGATAGTCTTTATCAGGTCGGTAGCTGCCGTTGTATTTTCTTAGCCCTTGTCAAAGGTTGCCAAGCATTGTGATGCAGACGCACTGAATTCGAAATCTGAACCGCTAGGCCCAAAAGGAAAGCTGATCCACTGGCCACTGCCGCCATCTTCGGTGTTCTCAGTGTCTTCGGCGTTGTTAA